ACGTCGAGAACGTCAACGGGAATAATAGAAATAATCAAGTTGACCCAACCATCATAGTGGTAGCACCCCTTGTGTCGGAGGCTGCTCTATATGATTGGGCTCAACTAACCACTAACAGTCTAGGAACTACAATTGCAGTCCCTCTGATACAAGCGAAAACTTTTCAAATTACAAACAACATGCTGCACTTACTGCAGAATAAAGGTTTTTCTCCGGGTCTTACATCGAAGACCCACAGCAACATCTGAAGAATGTTCTATCAATTTGTGTCACTCAAAGATAGCCGAATGTGACACCCGAAGTAATCAGATTGTTACAATTTCCATTCTTGGTGATTGGGAGGCTCAAACTTGGTTGAATGCACTCCTAATAAACTCCATTGCTACTTGGGAGGAACTAGTCAAGAAGTACTTAAACAAGTTTTATCCACCTAACAAGACTGTAAGGCAAATTGATGAGATATTGCAGTTCAGGCAGAAACCAACTGAAACTTTGCAAGAAACATGGGAGAGGTTTAAGGGTATGTTGGTGAAGTGTCCACACCATGGCATCCCAGATCAGATTCTAGGATAGAGATTCTATATGGGTTTGGCTGACAGTCTGAAGGCTAATATAGATGCTTCAGTCGGGGCTGCATTCTTGAGCAAATCATTCACGGAGTGTAAGATTCATTTTGACAAGATAGCTCAAAATTCAGGCTAGATGACGAGGGATACAATACTCACTCCAATAGTGCATTTTGTTGCTCTTGACCCAAACAATACAAATGCAGAAAACATAGCCACTCACATGACCCAGATGAGCTTGCTGACAAAGAAAATTGATGAGATTGGCACGAAGCAGGTTCATATTGTTGACACAACCAATGGAGGCCTATGCACTCCTTGCATCAATCAACTGTATGTTTTCTCATGAAGTGGAGAAAATAAAAACTAGGGCTTCAAAGAAGACATGAATTACGTAAATAATTGTGGGGGTTAGATACAAGGTGGACATCAATGAGGAACTCAGAATAACAGTACAAACCATCCTAACAACAATACAATGCCAACCCTGCAAGAGCACGACCACATGGTCAGGTTGTGCCTTATCAAAGGCAGCACATATACAATCAGCCGAATCAATAACTAGCCTATCAACAACCTCAACAACAATATATAGTGAGACAAGATGATGGGTTGTTCGAAATTAAAGGAATGTTGCAACAACTCATTGGTTCCAGTGGGAAGATGGAGGAAAAAGTCCACCACATGCAAGAAAAAGGTAGTTTCACATGACTCAACTATCAAGGGCATTGAGGTTCAATTAGGGCATATATCCATGGCTCTCAATAATCGTCCTCCAAAAATATAGACATACATATCAATCCGAAGGAGCAAGGCCCAAAACAACTAATGGCAGTGAGTCTTAGGAATGTAAGGGATTTGGATAGAGAGCAAGAATTTGCTCAATCTAATAGAGAGGCAGTGTCACATACTCCAGTTCCAATCGCGATCGATGAGTCGACTTAGAGGTCGTAATTGAGCAAGCACAAGTTGACAAAGGCAAGGAGAAAGAAATTGAACAGTTCCCATAACAGGTATTAGAAAAGACTTCTAATCAGGAAAAGACACAGAGCAGTGGGCAGAAGCTACTTCCAGCAACATTCCCTCAAAGGTTGGCAAAGTAAAAGAAAGATGATCAATATAGGAAATTCATAAAAATGCTCAGGCAGATTCAATTGAATATTCCTCTGATGGATGCTTTGAGAAAAATGCCAGGCTATGCTAAAATGATGAAGGATTTGATGTCTCAAAAGTTTGACTTCCAGGACCTGTGTACTATAACTTTGACTCAAACGTTTAGTGTAGTAGTGACAATACATATGGCTCAAAATTTATATGATCCCAGTTGTTTCAGTATCCCATGCACAATTGGAAGTTATGCTTTTGCTAAAGCATTGTGTGACTTGGGAGTCAATATGAACTTGATACCTTTGGCAATCTACAGAAAGTTAGGCATTAGTAGAGCTAGACCAACATCAATATTGTTGCAACTGGCTGATCGCACGGTGAAAAGGCCAATAGGAATTTTGGATGATGTGCTCGTCCAAGTGGGGAAGTTTGTATTTCCTGCTAATTTTGTTATTCTTGACTGCAAGTTTGACGAAGAAATACCCATAATTTTGGGAAGGCCATTTTTAGCTACTGGAGAACATTGATTGATTGTGAGACCGGAGAGTTGAAAATGAGGTTGAACAATGAAGAAATAATATTTAACGTTCAACAATCTATGAGGAGGCCAAGAAAATTTGTAAATTGTTCGCTAGTGGAGGCAGTTGATGTGATACTACAAGAGGAGGATGAGACTCTTCATGTGATAGACCCATTAGAAGCTTGCTTGATAAATATAAAAAAAGTTGATGGTGAAGAGTTGGCGGAGTGGGTTATGTCTCTTAAAGGTCAAGGTTTCTAGAAAAGAGAACCTCAGTTTGAGCCCTTACACTTAGAAGAAAGAAAAGCACCATATGTGAAGTCGTCAATAGAGGAACCACCACAGTTCGACCTAATACCGCTTCCAGCTCACCTTAGGTATGCTTTCTTAGAGCCTAACTCTACTTTACCTATTATTATCTCATCTAATTTGTTAGTTGTGCAAGTAGAATAACTCTTACAGGTGTTACGGAAATGTAAGACTGCTATTGGTTGGACCATCCCGGCCTTTTGCATCTATAAGATTCTCTTGGAAGAGGTTCACAAACCTTCCAGGGAATATCAAAGAAGACTGAACTCGAATATGAAGGAAGTGGTGAAGAAGGAAATGATTAAATGGTTGGATGCGGACGTCATCTTTCCGTTTTGGATAGCGTTTGGGTAAGCCCAGTCCAATGTGTTTGAAGAAAGGTAGCATGACTGTTATACTGAATGAGAATAATGAGTTGATCTCTACTCGTACAGTCATGGGTTGGCGAATTTGCATGGATTACAGAAAACTGAACATTGCCACCCGAAAAGATCACTTTCCCCTAGCATTCATTGACCAAATGTTGGATAGATTTGTAGGGAGGTCTCAATTCTGCTTTTTGGATAGATATTCAGGGTACAATCAGATCACAATAGCCCCTGAGGATAGAGAGAAAACGTCATTCACTTTTCTGTATGGCATCTTTGCCTTTCGAAGAATGCCTTTTGGCCTATGCAATGCACCGGCTACTTTCCAGAGGTGTATGCTAGCCATTTTCATTGATATGGTTGAAGATATTATAGAAGTCTTTATGGATGATTTATCAGTAGTGGAGAATTCATTCAATGTTTGTCTAACAATTTGAGAAGAGTGTTGAAAAGGTTTGTGGAGACATACCTGGTGCTGAACTGGGAGAAGTGTTATTTTATGGTACAATAAGGTATAGTTTAGGAGCATCGAGTGTCAAGTAAGGGTACTGAGGTCGACCATGATAAGGTTTATGTGATAGAGTAGTTATCGCCGCCTACTTCGGTCAAGGCAGTAAGAAGTTTCCTTGGGCACGCCAGTTTCCACAAGCGATTTATAAAGGATTTCTCTAAAATTGCTAATCCCTTATGTAAACTGCTTGAAGAGGATCACCCCTTTGTGTTTTTTGATGATTGTAGGTTAGCATTTGAGGATCTAAAGAAGAGATCGGTGACTGCACCAATCATCATTGCACTAGACTGGGAGCAGCCTTTTGAGCTCATATATGATGCAAGTGACTATGCTATAGGAGCAGTTTTGGGGAAGCGAAAGGACAAAATAGTGTATCCAATTATACCATGATTTAGAAAGAGATATTGGTTGTAGTGTTTACATTCGACAAATTCAGGTCTTATTTGATAGGTTCAAAAGTGATTGTTTATACTGACCATGCATCACTTAGGTACTTGATAGCAAATAAGGAGTCAAAGCCACGCTTGATTCATTGGGTTCTTTTGCTACAATAATTTGATTTGGAGATCCGCGATAGGAAAGGAACAGAGAACCAAGTGACAGATCACCTTTCAAGGTTCGAGGGAGCTGAAAAGAAAGTAGAGGTTGAAGATATAACAGAGACATTCCCGGATGAATAATTACTAGCAGTGGAAATGGAGGAGACGCCTTCGTATGCTGATATTGCTAACTATTTGGCATGCGGTATTGTACCTTATGAACTCTCTTCGATTCAAAAGAGAAAGTTCTTTTGTGATTGTCGGTCTTATTACTGGGATGAACCTTTACTTTTTAAAATTTGTATGAATAACATGATCTGGAGGTGTAAACCAAGAAAGATCAATCTTCTGTTTTGCAGACTTGCCACGCTTTACTATATGGTGGGCACTTTGGAGGAATTCAGAAAGATGCGAAGGTGTTGGAGTCGTATTTGTTTTGGCCGACTCTATTCAAGGATGCCCATGCCTGGGTTAAAAGTTGTGATGAGTGCCAATGAACCCGCAACATATCTCGCCGTCATGAGATGCCGATGACTACAATTCAAGAGGTGGAAATGTTTGACGTGTGAGGGATTGATTTTTTGGGACCATTTGTCAGATTGTATGGTAACAAGTACATATTGGTAGCAGTCGACTATGTCTCCAAGTGAGTTGTAGTTGTGTCTCTTCCAACAAATGATGCCAAAGGAGTAATAGGATGTTTAAGGAAAATTATTTTCACACGGTTTGGCACTCCAAGAGCTATAATCAATGATGGTGGAACTCATTTCTATAATATAACATTTGCAAGGCTGTTAGAAAAGTATGGAGTCTGCCATAAGGTTGCCACACCTTACCACCAACAAATGAGCAGGCAAGTGGAAGTGTCCAATAGGGAAATCAAAAGTGTCCTGACCAAGACTATGAATGCGACTCTGACTGATTGGGAAGGAATTTGGATGATGCGTTATGGGCTTACCGTGCAACATTTAAAACTCCAATCGGTATGTCTCCGTACAAGTTGGTGTTTGGAAAAGCATGTCATCTTCTGGTGGAGCTTGAGCATAAAGCCTTAGGGCACTACGGCAATTGAATTTGGATATGGAATCCGTGGGCACAAGTAGAGTTACGGAGTTACATGAACTCGAGGAGTTCCGGTTCCAGGCATTCGCGAGTACAAGATTGTACAAGGAAAGGATGAAGATGATGCATGAGAAGCACATTCTAGATAGGAACTTCAAACCCGGAGATCTAGTGTTGTTATACAACTTGAGATTGAAATTTTTTCCAGGTAAGCTGAAATCTAGATGGTCGAGACCATTTAGAGTTGTGCAAGTATTCTTAAGTGGAGCTGTAGAAATTGAGTCTGAAGATGGGACAAACAGGTTTAAAGTGAATAGGCAAAGGTTGAAACACTACCTTGGAATGATTGAAGAGAAAGGGGAGAAAGATGTGATGTACTTGGAAGAGCCCCAATATGTGAGCGAAGTGTAATCCTGAAAGCCTGTGTTGTGCCACGACATTAAATCAGGCGCTTTCTGGGAGGCAACATATGCTCGTGTTGTATTCGTCATGTCATGACGTTAACTAAGGCGCTTATTGAGAGGTAACCCAATTCGTAGAGTAGATTTAGTTTAGTTTTATTTTTAGTTTTTGTTTGATATTGAGGCGGACTAACAAGTGAGTTTTGAGTGAATTTGAAGTGTTTTGATAGGTTGTGGAGCTACTTGGAAGAAATATGTGTTCGTGGCTAAAATAGTTATTGTAAAGTGAAAATTAAAACATTGATCCATCGCCAGGTAAAGTCGAATGCACAATCTTAGTATACCTCTCATTGCTTAGCATAAAGGTACAGTTCCCCACACCCCGCCCTGCGCTAAAAATTCACTACCCCACACGATGCCTCGCAGGGTCAAGCACGAGTCTGTTATGCGCCCGCTAGTGCCTCGCAGGGTTTAGACGTCGCCCCTCACACGGCCTGGTTGTGTCCAACGCTGAAATATTAGTGCGTCTGAGCGCACCTCACGCAGCTTCAAGGTCGCGTCTCACACTGCCTCGTGCAGCCCAGCATCAAGAGGCGTAGGTAAAACCCACACGCCCTAGCCCCTAAAAAACAAAAAAAACAAAAAAGGAACCTTCTGCCATACATCTCCCAACCCCATTGTCACGTTCCCAAGTAGAAACAAAAATCCATGTTCTTCAAGTCTCCACCTTACCCCACCGCCTCGTCCTCTCTCTCTATTCCTAGGTATGATTTCTCTCTCTCTCTCTCTCTCTCCCCCTCTCTCTCTCTTCTCTATTCTATCTTTTTCTATGTAATTACTAGTTGTTGGGTAATATGCTCTACAAGGTTCAACAATGGTGCAATTATGCTAAAAGAATTCCCAACCCCAAATACCCCTAAGATATCTTGTGATTGTTGTAATGAGTATTTCAAAATCGATTCCCAAGTTGATTTGGGAGGGTGGATAAATCCCTCACCCACAAAAAATCTCACACACAAATAATGCATACAAGGTGTTCGATAAACTGCCTCATTGGCGATTTTAGTCCCAATTAGAGCCCGAGTCTCCGGGATTGGTTGTTTTGTATTAGGTGAGCATGATTGATACGATAGCCTACATGTGGAGTGACTCTACGTAGTTGGGGTGGATTGGTAAAGTGTGTTTGCAATGACATACGGGCTATGTGTAGTGCCACAATTTAGATGCTAATACACTTATTTGATGAAGGCGAAGTCTGAGTAGCCTATGGATTAAAGTAATTAGCATATCTTAGAGCTTTGAGTCTGGGGCCACTCCGACTTTATTTTTGTGATAGTTCTTGTTTCCTTGAATTGATATTTGGTATGATTGACTGGTACATGCAATATGGTTCGTTCAACAGCTAGTTCTAAAGCACCAGCTAAGGCACCACCAAAGGCAAAGGCCACCCCGTCAAGCCCACCGCCAAAGAAAAGGAACAATATTGAGGCTACATCTGGTAGTCACAGTGGTAAAGGCAAGCAAGCGGCTTCTGCTTCTACTGAGGCACAACCTCAAGAGAAGGCAACTCATGAGTATGGCATCAAGATTATGTCCCCATCTGGGAAGGCATGGTATAGGAAGTGTCATCCAAACTCATATCTCCCTAATTTTGCAGTTGATGAGCACAAATTGAAGTCTGATTACCTTCAGATTTGGGAACGAATACATGAACTAGGGCTGGGTTTTGTATTTAAAAATCTTGGAGAGGCAAACTTTAGCTTAGTGCGTGAGTTATACGTCAGGTGGAACCGTGAGGCTGAGGATCAATTGGTGCCTATTCGTGGGAGGCTTATTGATATTTCAGCTAGCACATTATGTAGAGTTTTTGATGCCTCTAGTGTTCTATGTGGGCCGTTGTGTGACTTTATTGACCGGCCTGCTTACATAGTTTTTAGGCACACGCTGTGTGGTGTTAATTCGAATGCGGTGTAGACACGGTACAAGAGATATAACACCCATGCCTCTTTGCCTAAAGTAAAGTTTATGAAAATTGCTAAAGTGTGGTTGCGCTTGGTGAACATGAGACTACTTTCGTGTGATCATGATTCTGTTGTTGTCCGGGAGAGAGTATGTCTACTGTATTTCTTGATGAAAGGGTGGCCAGTGAATGTGGGCCAGTTGATACGTAGCCATATGGCACAATATAGAAAGGACACACTTACTAGGATAATCTTTGTGAATCTGCTTACGCAATATTTGCGTAGGGAGAAAGTGGATGAGGAGCCCAGGTTTGACATGTTATCCGTGGGCTAGATGAGGAAGATGGTATGACATTTACTATAGCAGAGCGTCAGGCTCGTGATGAGAGCATCATGGTTCATTTGTATGGGATGATGGACTTGCAGTTGTGGATTGGGGGCAGGCCTGCTACTTCAGAGGAGAGGACTTAGTTGACTGAGTGATTCTCGCTCACCATACATGCACATCGATTGGTTGGTTTAGTTGTGGGCCATAGGGTGCCACCAAATGAAGATATCAACACTCCAGAGCATTCGGTTCATGGCGACGAGGAGCAAGTTGCTCCAGCGGTTGTTGCCACTGGTGAGGATATGGGTGATGATGTTGATGATTGGGATGAGGCTGACAGAGTCTTCTTCGATGAGAGCCATCGTCTCGAGGAATGATCGGGGAGTTTCTTATTCACCCTTACTACTTTAATTATGCATTGGGTACACTGCATGTTTTTAGTGTGGGGTGGGTAACTCTCTTTTTGCATAGTAGTAATAGATTAGTAACCATATTAGCTTCTTATATTTTTAATTTCTAGATTCGTATTTTGTTTATTGTTAGCTTCTTATATTTTTAATTTCTAGCTTTTTATTTTCTTTATTGTTAACTTCTTGTTTTATTTTTTTAGGATGCTTATATAGAGTAATATAACCATTATAATAGTATTTAGTAGTGTAGTAGTTTTTATTTTTTTTATGAAAAAAAAAAAAGACTTTTCCCGACGATAGATCTCATAGACAGTTTTCTTGAGGGATTTAAGACTAAACAAAAATACAAAAAAAAATTAGAAAATAAAAAAATACAAAAATATGTCTTTTTTCCCCTTAGGTAGTAATAATCCCTCGTGGTTATTCTTTGTGCCTCGGTTCTTTTCTGGGATGTAACTTGAACCGGATAATAGTTTTAATTTTTATTTTTACTTTTAGAGTAGTATGTAGGAAATAAAGGAGAAGAACTGATGTGATTCGCACCTTTTGACTTGTTTGATGGTTGCATAATTAGGTTCTGGCATGTTTTTCACCTTCCCTTAGCTTTAAATATATGATGATGTGTCACGACCCAAAACCCAAACCGTCGTGATGACACCTAACCCGACCCTCTAGGTAATCCAATTAACTATAAAATATAATTTAATAATACTGATGTGAGCCAAAGATGAGATAACTGAATTTATATAACTCCCCAAGGACTGATAGTACAAATCATGAGCTTCAAGATATAGAGTTTACAAAGCTGTTTTGAAATAAAATACACCATCTGTTTGAAATATACATGAACATAACTAAAATACTAAAGCTATCAAGATCAAGAGGTAGCTATGACTAGAACACATGTACATCTTCAGATCCATCTCCCGCCGTACGCAGCTACATCAGCATCCAACATCTGCACGCAAGGTGCAGAAGTGTAGTATGAGTACAACCGACCACATGTACTCAATAAGTAATAAACCTAACCTTAGGTTGAAAGTAGTGACCAGCTGGGATAAGGGTCAGAGTCCAACACCAATACCCAGTAACAGTTCATAACAATATAATGAAGTAACACAAGTAATAACTCTACGATAAAAATGCTCATCTCGTTCATAGTTCCGGAAAAATAGTCATTTTCTTTTCAAGTATTACAATAAAACTCAAATCTTCTGCCAAAAAATATGAGTAAGTCTGAAAACTGTGATTTTTCTTCCCAAAACTTTTCCATAGGTAAATGTTTCAGTATCAAATGGCATGAGGAAAGTACATCTCTATGGCTACATGTCAATGTGTATGAGAAGTTATGAATGACGTGAGACCGTACAACATGAGGAAAAATGCATCTCTATGCGTATATGACAAATGCGCATATCGAATGCGATACAACATAGTGAACAGCCATATGCATACTTTCAGAGTATCAATCCACTAATTCCTCCCGGTCACTCAGTCCTCCCAATCACTCAGTCCTCACAGTCACTCAGCACTCGCACTCACACTCACACTCACACTCAGTAGGTACCTGCGCTCACTGTGGGTGTGCAGACTCCAAAGGGGCTCCTTCAGCCCAAGAGCTATAATAAGCCAATCATGGAATAAATCAATAGTAAATGTTGCGGCGTGCAACCCGATCCCATCAATATCCTCAAAATCAGGCCATCAGCCTCACTTAGTCATCAATCTCTCTGGTCTCTCGGCCTCACAATATCATAAAAGATCTACACAAAAATAATGATATGATGTATTGATAAATGGTGACAAAGACTGGGATATGATATGTAGATGAATGCGTATGACTGAGTATGTAATTTCAATATAAACAGATAACTCAACAGCAGAAATGACCCCAGTGGGTCCCAACAGGATAAGCATATAGCCTAGACATGGTTTCTAACATGGATCACAGCTCAATCACTCGAGCACGTAGAGATTTCATGGATACAAATAAGATTAGAGGACTACACAGTACCACAGAAATAACCGAGCCACAATTCACATGGTGCACGCCCATACGCCCGTCACCTAGCATGTAAGTCACCTCAACACCAAACACATGTTAAGTATATTCGGGGTGCATACCCTCGGCACCAAGTTTAGAAGTGTTACTTACCTCGAACGAGTAAAATCCAATATCGAGCAAGCCAAACGATGCTCCAAAAATGCCATACCATGCGTACCGACCTCTGAACGGCTCGAAACTAGCCAAAAGCAACTCAAATACATCAAATAAAGTCTAAGGAAACAATTTCAATTGATAAAGGTCAAA